CTTTATTTTATTCATCGAAGCAAATGTGGAATCTTCATTTTCTTATATACTGTATATATACATAGGTCTATAACCTGCCACTTATGGAGGAAAGTGTTGTCCGAAAGCTTTGGATCGATTTCTGCCTTGCGTGGTTTGCAAAGTTGAGCAGGGGCAGTAAAGATCGGGATATTGTGCGTGAGATTGGGAGAAATCATCAAGACTATTGATTAGTAGTCAAAATAGGAAGAATTTTCAAATAGAGTAATTTAAAGTTCTACCGGTATTCACAATTAATTTATTTTGAATCAAGGCAGTACAGTATTATTATAATTATGGCACACTTTAAAGTATCATCATCTGCTAGGCGTTGATAATGGTACTAATTTATATGTTCATACCAAGCTAGATTTAAGCCTAACTGTGCTGATATCAAAAGTCCTACGCGGTAAATTGTCCCCGCATGGTACCGTACTACCTGCGCGTGTTCACCATTAATACATATTTTCGTGATTACAGTTTGGGAAGACGCCAACGTACCTGGTGGTGTCTTGCGTTTGAAATTTATGTTCATATTTAGTTTATGCCAACCAGGTGGGATTATTATCCTGTCGTTGGTCGTTGCTACCTTTAATAAATATAAGAGTGAGATTGTGACGTCAGATATTGTATTTCATTATATCCTTGTATGATACTGTATGTAGCCTATATAAAGAAATCCCGAAATAACATCAAACGCCAATAATTCGTCAATATTTGCAAACATCCCGAGTTCTTCAGAATTATCCAGGCCATGATTGGTTGAGAGTTTAACCTCAAACTCACCACACACGCGAATGATACCTTCGTTTGTAAGCCCATCAATTGCATACATTACGTGAGGAGCCAGCCCCTGTACTCTGATGCTTTTTTTTTTAATTTATCTGTATTGCAGATCCTTTGGTACAGATATTATCATGGTAATTGATAATGATACTGTTATTCATTGCAAGTATCAATAAAATTTGAGGCTGTCACTTAGTTGTATTCTTCAACTTTTTTGGCAAAATACTGACAAAAGAGAAGGTGTTGTAAACATAATGCAGACGCTCTGGATATAGTTTCATTTTATCAATAAAATTATACTGACAAATTGTTATCTTCAAACTGAATGCAGAAACTGCATAATGGTGAATATTAAACAGGATTCAACAGTTTTGTTTTTAGTTTCAGAGTTTAATTTGTAGCCTAGGCTTATTTACAATAATTAATTTTTTTGAATCAATAAATAATTGAATTTATTGATTTTATATTATATTATATTATATTATTTTATATTATATTATATTATATTATATTATATTATATTATATTATATTATATTATATT